ATTGTCACAGAATTATAAATAACGACTGACGTTTAACTAGTAAATTGTCAACAAAACTATTTTAAGGTTATGTTTATTTACAAACTTGTAACTAACACATGTAACGAACAAGTTAAATATTTTTTTGTGAAACGCTAGTTATTAACAACTTGTGATTACAAGTGCTCAATATTAACAATTGTTACTAAAAACACTTGTAGTTTTGTGAAACGGGCCCCTGCTCCAAAAACTGCCTCACCATCAACTAAAGATCTCTGTCGATCTTGCAACCATATAAATAATTATGATAATGTAAATTTTACTTCCCGTATTTCAGATATACTGTAGAAAAACAAACATTTAATTTTATTTTTATTCAGGTTTGGGAGTCAATTACCTTATGTATAAACTCGAATCACAAACAAATATACTTAGAAGAACGTACTCCAACTTTTACTTTGGCAAAACACACGTGTAAATGATTTATATTAAACGTTTTATACCTTAGAGATCAAATGACAAAATGATTTGTTTTCCCGAAGTTATCGTCCTCTTTAAAATCTTCAGCGCCCATGTCGGAATTGGCTGTCGCGAATTGTTTATCAAAGACTCACGAAATCTTTACAAGTTTATGTATACGAGCTGCTGAGAACAAAAGTGGTGTAAAGTGTTTTTGAATATTTTGCACTTACATCGATATGCCATAGATTTTCATACGGATACCTGTAAAAGTGGTGTATGTAAAACTTCTAGTACTTCCTACTAGATGGCAAAAAGATACTGAACTGTGGTGGGCAAATGTGGCGTAAAGTCATTATTAAAGGTGAGTTTTTACGTTTTTCCATCGATATAATATACTAAAGGCAGCTTTACATCTAGGCTATGCAAGTCTCATGCTATGCAAGTCCGTCTTGCATGGCACATCTCTTGCCTAGCTTGACCTTTTTACATCAGAGATATTTCTGTGCAATTTTAGATCCCACTTTCACTGTTGCCAACATAGAAAATATTTATCAATTTGAGGTTATTTTATTTTAAATAAAAAATATAATTAAGTACTAAAATAAATAATATAATAAATAAATATACACTATTTATGGTTATTAAAAGGGTGAAGGATGTCAACCAAAGAAAAGAAAACATTGTTATTGTTGAATATTGCTGTTGTAACAACAATCATCCATAGTCAACGACTCACCCAGTCGTTTTTACATTAACTTTAGACATAGTATATCTATTTATCACCACTTAATAAACTTAATTTAAATCAAAACACAACAATACACATGTGGGTTAAGGAACGCTAAAGATAGAGATAAGGTTATGTTTTATTCTGTAATCTATTATAAATTGTTATGTTGGCAACATGAATTTTAACGATAAATTGCAAGAAAATTGCATGAAAAATAGAACATGTTCTAATTTTTCGTCTAGCACAGGAATTGCATGGAAATAGCCCGTGGGCATGCGCAGTTCCATGATCTGTCTTGCATGGCTCTTGCCTAGCATGAAAATAGCATAATGTAAAACTGTCTTAAGGATGGAACCATGATACTATGACTTCCAAGATAAAACCACTAAGCAATCGAATTTTGTACGTCGATGCGCATGACGTCACTTGGCGATAAAAGTTTATCTTTAATTTAATATTCTGAAATATATTTTATATAAAGTGCACACATTTATTTGTCAACGTACTAGATAAACCATAAAACAATACTAAATATGAGAAAACTACATGCAAAACAGAAAATTTCTGGTGATATTTCTCGCCAAGTGACGTCACACGTGCAAAAGAGGTAGACTGATCGCGTGCGCGTGGGTTTATCTTTAGTTCATAGTATCATGGGATGGAACCAGAGATATGTATCACTGGATGGAACCTAGAATAAATACTTGCGTTCAAGTAGCTAGTAACAATGGCCGATCTTGTTTCCGGAATGTCAGTAGCGTGTACGACAAAAATTCCTTTGGTACATCATAAGTACAATAATTATTTATTTTCGTTGTTATTTAAATAAAAAATATCATAAAAGAATTAATAACCTGCCAAATTCACGTCGGACATTGTAGCTAATAATGTGATGTCAGTACCATCGTCTATTATCTACACAGGAGCCATCCTTGTTATATCGATGGTTTACCAAGCACGCAACATGTTTGCAATTGCTTGCAACTGTTATAAAACAATTTTATATTTGGTTGGTGTAGACAGATTTCAGAACGCTCTCAAACAATTGCAAACGTTTGCAATTGTTTGTCACGGTTCCGTCCGCTGTCGATACTTCAAATTGATTTGTTACTTGAGCGTGTTTGAAGAAGACACTAGGTTTTATAGTCTGTGATAGTAGAAAGGAAAGGAAAGGACACAGACATGATTATAAAACTAGTCGTACATAGTTGTAACCTCTTCTTGGAGCTATATTGTATAAATAAGACGTAACGAATGGCAAATGTTTGCAAACTTACTCAAATTCGCAAATTCTTGATTTTGACAAAACTGTGGTAAACGTTAGCAAATGTTTGCTAATGTTTATGTGTATATATTTATAAATGCTTTTTGGTGAAAACTTACCTAAAGAACGATTTAGATGATTACATAACAGACTTTTATTATGTTAAACCGAACGAATCAAGAAGTAGTACAGATGGTAAGTATTTGATATTTTTGATATTTTTTATTTGTTGCGCCAGTAATTTTAGTAAATACTTAAACATACGGCATACATAAATTGATAAATTAGTAATGTAAATGTGTATTATTTCTGGTAAGTTAAATATTACTTTTTGTTGCTCTAGATGATAACGAGGTCAACTTGGAAGGTACCTACATACAATTAGGCCAAGCAGACATCAGAGAAAAGTGCCCACCAACAATAACCAAGATTAGAACATCAGTAGCCATATTGAAAAACAATAAATCACAGTAAAGGTCGATTCAGACACATCAGTCCCGTCATAGTCTCGGCGCCGAACCGGTCCTGTTTTGGTCACAGAACTATCAACTCTCTGACAGCTGGGAAACTGTTTGTCAACTGATGAGTGTGAATGCCGGCAACATATTTGTATTAAGAAATATTTTGTATGACGGATTGTTCGGTTCGGCGCAATCACTGTGACGAGACGTGACTGATGTGTCTGAATCGACCTTTAAGGTCGATTCAGACACATCAGTCACGTCACAGTCACGGTACCGAACCGGTCCTATTTGGTCACAGAACTATCAACTATCTGACAGCTAAGAAACTGTTTGTCAACTGATGAGTGTGAATGCCGGCAACATATTTGTATTAAAGAATATTTTGTATGACGGATTGTCCGATTCGGTGCAATCACTGTGAGGAGACGTGACTGATGTGTCTGAATTGACCTTAAAGGTCGATTCAGACACATCAGTCACGTTACAGTCACGGTACCGAACCGGTCCTATTTGGTCACAGAACTATCAACTATCTGACAGCTGGGAAACTGTTTGTCAACTGATGAGTATGAATGCCGGCAACATATTTGTATTAAAGAATATTTTGTATGACGGATTGTCCGATTCGGCGCAATCACTGTGACGAGACGTGACTGATGTGTCTGAATTGACCTTAAAGGTCGATTCAGACACATCAGTCACGTCTCGTCACAGTGATTGCGCCGAACCGAACAATCCGTCATACAAAATATTCTTTAATACACATATGTTGCCGGCATTCACACTCATCAGTTGACAAACAGTTTCCCAGCTGTCAGATAGTTGATAGTTCTGTGACCAAACAGGACCGGTTCGGCGCCGAGACTATGACGGGACTGATGTGTCTGAATTGACCTTTATTGTATCAAATAGCATTGGAACTACTGAAAGTAGGAGGAGATGTTTTACTAAAAACAATACATAACCGCACTAAAAATTCGTGATGAGTTTAAAGATTATTTTATATCTCCAAATAGGAGAGTAGAGTTTCAAGAGCATACCATTCAAACACATAATTAAAAAAAAAATAAATTATTACAACCAAATTATTTATTATTTCTGTCTTCCATTACAACCTGTTGAATATCTTCAAAAATTGTGGTTTCCAATTTAGTTTTCATATTGGGACATTTTATTTCTTTCATTTTTGCACCACAGTATTTTTAAAAATAATCAGTAGCATATGTTCTCAGTCCCCAGTAGCTTGGGGTCCTCAGGCCCTTGTTCGGTGCCTCACGTACTGCAGTTCTATTTTTATAGGTGTCAAAATTTCGACCAATCATGTGCCAAATCACATACAGTTTCTGGTAAAAGAACTTGCATAGTGTCATACAGGGCAAAAATGTACGTACAAGAAACGATACAAGAAAACATAAATAACTTTCTATATCAGAAACGATATAAGAAATGATACAAGAAAATGCATAGTGTCATACGGCTTTATAGACTGTAAGTGCAAAAAAAAAATGTTACGAGAAAGTTAGTGGGCAAATCAGAAAATTCTCTTTGACTCATTTTGGGCTATTGGTGATTATAAATGACAAAATTGTTATATATTTAAGTATCTTGTGTTTAGAGTTCTATATAATGGGTGGTGTATGCAGAAAACTGTTGATATGAGTTGTTATAAACCCAACATGAGTTTCATCAGTTTTATTGGAACTTATACTCTTCCCTCTTAAATCTTCCCCTACTTCAAAAGCCCTCAGTGTTCAAAAAATACTATACGTACCTACAGGCCTTCATTCCTCCACTTCCATTAGACCTTTGTCTATTCGCAACTGCTAGTCTTCGTACTAGGCCATATATTATGTGGCTTAGTATAATAATAAAATTCAGCAAGATTTTACGATCAAAATCATTTGTAACTTGAAAAAAAAAAAACAATTTTCTGAAAAACACTATATTACTATATATGTACAAATTTGAACAGACAAACATAACATAAATATTTATATTTACAGTCTTCATTTTGTTATATCCTGCATGTGAAATATGTATAGCACATGTAAGTTCATTTGAAATCAAATGATTTGATGATTTGATTTATGAAAAAATATTGCTTAAGTGATCCCTGTTATCTTCAAATCTATGATTATGTATTTATTTTGGTCAATGAAATCAAACTCAGCATTACCAGGAGACATGTACCTAAAATAAAAAGAAAGCGTTAGTAGTACTGTTTTAATCGTACTGTAGTGGTACTAGTAGTTTTAATAGTACTGTTTTAAAATTTCTTATTGAGTGGATAACTATTGGGCGAGCGGTTTACGCCTTTAAGTAGAGCATAAACCTACTAAATTTTTTCTGCATGTCTACCGCACCAAACCTTTTTTATTCGATTTTATATATCTAAGTTCAAATGTATTTTTTAATTATTCCAAGTGGGACGAAAATTGTTATTAACAAATAACTTATAACAAAAAAACAATTTTCCGAATCGCGTCCAGTAAATTTTTTTAGGCGCATTTCACCGAAATATGTAAATACTTTTTCTATCTTGGTAATTTTTCGAAAAATGCTTAATTTTCGAATGATATGTAATTTTTTGTTGAAAAAATGCCTTAATATCCTCCTGAGACCCGATGTCCAAATAAATGGACATTTACGTATTATACATTTTTTTTTTGAAGAACTAAATTGACAACAGCACGTCGTACTACTGAAAGCACATTTTAACTTAGTTAACCTGTTAATCACAAGTGACAAATATGGCGGGCAGTTGTAGAAAAGCAATTGATGGTAAGTCTGAGATTGACGTATAAATAACAGCACCCAACGATGAGTTACATTATCAAAGACTAGAATCAGTTCTTAGTAGACTTGCAAAATACAATATTAGAGTCAATCATGACAAATGTTAATTTTTAGCAAATCAGATTGAATACTATGGATATAAAATTGACAAAAATAGTATACATAAAACCAAAGAAAAGATGGAAGCTATACAGAAACCAGAAGCACCTACAAATAAGACAGAAGTTAGAGCATTAGTAGGACTCATAAATTATTACGGACGGTTCTTACAAAATTTGAGCCATACTTTACATCCAATTTACAATCTGCTTAAAGATGGAGTATCTTTCAAATGGGACAGAAAATGTCAAGAAGCGTTTGACAGCAGTAAAAAGAGAAATGATCTCTGATAAAATTTTGGCACATTTTGACCCAAATTTACCTTTAATACTTGCAACTGATGCAAGTCCATATGCAGTCGGAGTAGTATATATACCCGAATATATGCTCACATATATCCGGATGGATCTGAGAGACCAATTCAATTTGCTTCACAAACACGCGTATGCCATAATTTTTTATATTAAAAAATTTTACTTTTATCCATTTGGTAGAGAGTTTACACTCTATGTGGATAATCAACCTTTAGTTCAAATATTTTATCCATCTAAAAATTTACCCACACTAACTACAACTAGAATGCAACATTATGAACTGTTTCTTTAAAGTTTTAATTACACAATGAAGTATAAAATTACAAATATCCATCCAAAAGCTGATGCAATGTTAAGATTACCTCTTGATACTACTTCTGAATTCGATTACGACGTGAAAGACCAGTTTGAAATCAGTCAAATAGAAACTTTACCTGTTACTTTTAAAGAATTAAGTTTGGAAACTACAAGAGACCCCACACTACAAAATCTTTACAATGCTCTAGGAACTGGAAAACTGATCGATGTTAGGGATAGATTCAATGTCCCACAGATATAATTTTCTTTATAAGGAAATTGTATTTTTCGGCAAGAAATGGCAGTAATTCCAATTAACCTACGTAAAAAAGTTTTAAATAAATTACATACTGCTCATTTTCTCATAGTCAAGATGAAGATGCTTGCAAGAGGATCCTGCTGGTGGCCAGGAATTTCTAAAGATATAGAAAATATATGCAAACAGTGTATAGACTGCAACAAAATCGGGAATAGTCCAGAAAAAACAGTGGTACACCCATGGGAGACACCTAGAACCTCTTTTGAAAGAGTTCACGTAGATTTTGCAGGACTTTTCATGAATTTATACTATTTTATTCTAGTGGATGCCTATACTAGATGGTCAGAAATACATATGGTTAAAGATTTAACAAGAAAAACTACCATAAGAAAAGTTTTTTGTACATTTGGAATTTCAAATCGTTTAGTTTCAAATATTGCACAAATATTTACTAGTTACGAATTTAAACAACTTATACAGCAAAATGGAATCTTTCATAAATTCAGTGCACCAGATCATCCAGCTACAAATGGAATGGTAGAGAGGTACGTACAAACATTCAAATAAGCGCTACGTGCACAAAAAGGAGGTAATAATGAAAGGGAGCTACAGCTCAACAAATTCTTACTAAATTACAGAAGAAACCCACATAGTACAACTGGTGTCAGTCCTTCAAATTTGATGTAAGGAAGAGAGATCCAAACAAATTCGAGAGAGATCCGAGATTAGATTTATTGAAACCGTTTTACAAAATACCTGTACAAAATCAAAACCATCTCAAGGTAAGAAACTTAGAGGTGGAAGAGAGAGTAGAGACTCGTAATTACATACATGCTGTAAATGGGAATTTGGTAGAGTCAAACGTAAACTAGGGAAATTACAATACCTTATACAGTTAGACGATACAAGAATATGGAAGAGACATATAGATCAAATCAGATCTATAGGGGAAAATACACCTGTATACATTAATATACAACCGACACATTTTGACCTGGGTAAGAATCCAATTGTTACAAATACTTTTGCGTCAAATGAAGCAGCACCATGTTCTAGTTCAGTTCAAGATACATATATACATGATTCAAATAATACTTCAACTTGCTTATCACAAATACTAGATACTACAAATACAGCAGCTAGCTCAAATGACGCCCCCGTACTACGAAGGTCCCAACGGGTGATAAAAAAGCCTGTAAGGCTGGACTTGTAAGTATTATGTTTTTATTTTTAATTTATTAATATTACAAGTTTAGCATTTCCTTACAAGGAAGAGAGTTGTCATATACTTGACATTTTAGTAGTTCTATGACATGACACTTGGACGTTGACAGATGTCATGGGACGTTACTCACTTCATTACTTAGGGAGTTACGTTATGTAGGTTACCACCCACATGTTTTAATTAGTGAAATAAAGGAGCATAAAATACATTCAACACCATTTTCATTACATTACACGCACATATACAACACCGATAATACTAACAAGTTAATGGCATATTGGAAACCGAAACCGTGTAGGCTGACTCTATAAAATGGATACAAACTACTATTAGACATAGATTCCGCAAGTACCATCCAAGCTATCTAGATTCCTGCCAAGTGTTTAAAGATGTAGTTCTATTATTTGAGATATTAAATAAATATATTAAAATATATCTTCTTCATTTTCAGAGCCTATCCATTTTGGATATTAGCAATCATCATTGTCCATCGCTGTTCGAAACAGTCCAGTAGTTGTCGTAGTAAACGATGTGCGTTAATTTTTAAGTCAGGAGATCCGTCTGCGCTCGGGATTTCATTTTCCTACTACTTTCCTTACAAGATCAGCTGTTGAATCTGTTATTGTAACACATAGTTAGTTATAGTAGGGAAACACTGGCTAAGATGATAAATCTGATAAGATGATAGAATCCGATAGATCCGATAACATGTAGAACTATATATATCACAGTAAAACAATTAAAGTAATAAACTCCATCTAATATATACATACCTTTTATAAATGTACTTGCATTTACACTGGTACTTTGTTTCTTTCCATGATTTTCTTTTCCCATAACAAATTTAAAAGTAGCGTTAAAACCGGTACCATCAAGTCTGTCATTGGATCGAAACGTGACTCTAAAGAATTTTCTATCAGATTCTACGTCAAACTCTTTGAGTTGACCGCAGTACCTCGAAAATTTCCTATCTCTTGTTAAATAATTAGAAAATTCAACGTAGTCACTGGCTGAAACGGCTTCGCAGCTAAAAGAACATGAAAATACTTTTTTTGTTAACTTAAATAATAATAATTACAATGTAATTAAAATATAAGAAAATAAGTAATGTTAGTGTATTTATATTAAGAATAAGGACTTCTAAGTCCTATATGTTCACCGGACGTGACCGGAAGTTGTACAATTTTCACCTCGTATATATTAAAGCATCGAAAAAGATTCTTAATCTTTTACGTCTCTGAGATTGGTAAGATATACATTTTTAGTTTGTTTATAAAAAAACAGATTGACAAAATAAATATATGTAGACGGTTGCGTTTGGATTTAATTTGAGTATCTTATCATTCTCTAACACGTGTTTCTGGGTTTACCCGTCATCAGAGAGACTTGTAAGAAGACTAAAATTAAATCAAAAGGTCGATGTCGATAGCAATTAAAGTAAACTGTATATCCAAGCTTAATCAAGCCATTCAGAACGATGCTGGGAATATTTATATTTCAATATGCATAAACAATTTGCCCATATATAATAGCATCATTTTCGTACTCATTTCGTCGACTAAGGACGATAAATAAAATACATATGTAGACGATTGCGTTTGGATTTAGTTTGAGTCTCTTACCATTCTCTAACACGTTACAAATTTCTCTAATGACGGGTAGACCCAGAAACACGTGTTATTTACATAACAATTACTGAATTACTAATATATAATGAGTAATTAAACTAGAAATGAAATAAATACAAACTATTTTCTTTAAACAAATAGTGATTTGCCGATGAGGTGATCTGGTTTAAAACTTTTTGACCATTTACGCATTTCATTATTGTTGTCAAATAGTTGTTACATACGTGCATTACATTCGTTGGTTATATTCAATTATGTAACCTGTTATCACTTATCCGGCTGAATAAACTTGAAAATCAGTTTAAGGATTGTATGGTATAGGAGCAGTTTAGTTGCAACACCTCAGCTTTTCAGCTCCGTTCAATATAATTTTTTTCATGTGCTTGACTGCGTATAATTTCCCACAGAGAAATAAGATGTGTTCAGATCTATCTTTTTTTTCTGGTCGCTTCATTTTTAACTTATTTGTTGCACTTTTTGCCAGCATATCACTTATGCATATGTTATTCTTGATTTAGAAGTAGGTAAGTAAGAACTTCTTTAACATTTCGAGTGTGTTCACCTGACACCTTTTGGAGCAAAGGTATACTCATTTGATGTTTCTTAAAGATATCCTTGCAATCCTTTCATGATTCCCCTTTTGCCATTTTCGGTTCCTTATTATATATTCAGTCAGAGTTTTACGATAATCGTTTAATTCATATTACTATTTTAACGTGACATGATCATTACTTGTCATTTCCAAAAATATGTGCCGATGATTTGAACGAAAAACATCTGCGTAGAGCTTTTCGACATCCCCTCTGACGTCTTCTTCAGAGCTTCCGGGGTCTTTTTCAGAGGTTTTATCGGTAAATAATTGGAAAATGAAAGTTGTCAACTACTTCATTGATTTATTTAAATACATTTCTCTTTTATTTTTAAAAGCATCGTCAGTTCACTACAAATAAAAAAGATCTTATAATATTATAAGTCAGCAATGAACTGAGTTCATACTTACAAAAAAATCTGTAGGTTTTTTTTTTGATATTATAAAAACTCTACGATGACTTAACAATAAAGATTAACAACTAAACGAAAAAAAAAGAAACACAAGAAAAACTGTAAAAGAGCACTATTGTTCATTTAATTTTGACCGATGGCTTCATTTGAATGCTGGTTTAATCTCGATCAAGGCTCGAACCACACTAATCTTGTCGATTGTTTTCTGTCGGTTGTAGGATGTTATAATTTCCCATATGGCTTGTTCTCGTATATGTGTTTATTTGGAAATCAGGGAGGTATGATTATTGAAGGAATTGATGAACGGAAAGGGGACCGACCTTTTTTTTTTAAAAAGGATTCATTTTTTCTTTTTCTTTTTTTTTATAAAGAAAGGAAGAAGAATAGAAATGTTAATATCTTGTAAGGGGTTTTATTTGTTTTGTATAATGAGAGAGTGATATCAAGTTGTCGATTTCGGTTCTTTTGTCAACAAACTAATGTCGTCTATCATGTACCCTGTGCAGAGTGCAACTCCTGCTACATTGGCCAGATCAGCAGCTCTCTTCAAGGTCGACTAACGTCCCACAAAAGCTACAAATTGTTTTTGTAAGTATGTTTGTTGTTAACTTATAATATTATAAGATCTTTTTTATTTGTAGTCATCGAGCAAAAAGACAAAAGAGGGAATGTAAAGGTAGTGGGCACAAAAATATTGTTAGACAGGAAGTGCAATCTTTAGAGGCCACATTAAACAAGAAAAGAGAGTCTCTCTCCTTGTTTGACATCAAATTTAGTTGGGTTATGTTATTGTTTGTCCCAAATGTCACATGAAATCTTATTTATATTGAAGTTTTTTAACAGTTGTGTCGCATTTTAGACTATTATCGTTAATAATTAATTAAAACTTTCTTGTCTAAGACACATTCTGAAAAATATTATATAGCTACTGTTAATAAGTGTCGGAAAATTTAAATTTGGCACATTCGCATTTCCGGATATGTCCGCCATCAGAGGCCACTTTTTTGGTCTCCTTTTCATAAAAATTAGATTCCCTCTTTTGTCTTTTTGCTCTATGTTTGTAGTGAACTGACGATGCTTTAGAAAATAAAAGCGAAACGTATTCAAATAAATCAATGAAGTAGTTGACGACTTTCAACATACCATATCTTTATACACAACTGTTCCAAACTGTCAACAACATAATATGTTTATAAACATTTTCTGACATTCCACACTTCAATAGACATTTTAAGATTTTTTGATGACATTTCGAAAATTCTAGACTTCTTCATTACTTCTTCTTTTACGTCAAGGAACTTTTTCTATATGAAATAAATCTCATGGAATTGTCATACCAATATAATACAAAAATATATTTTTCGAAAAGAGTAGGATAAGCTAATTTCCTAATAAATCTTAAGTTCAACGTTCATCAAATCCAATTACTTATATAATTTTATTTCAGGATCATTCGAGACTCTCCTTCTTATTTTATAAAAGCGATGTTAAATGTGTTTATTTAAAATATTCCGATTTTTATTTCCTTTCGACTTCCTGTTATAGGGACAGACGTTTATTGAAGAAGCCATTTTGCTAATTTTGTAATGAAATGTGGTGGTACTTCATTACTCGTTTAATATTACCATTTAATAAAAATCCATTTTTATGTTTAAAATGTACGAGGTTTGTTTAAAAGAGTTTACTTTTAATATTTCTCGGAAAAAAATTATTTAGTCGCCAATATCTATGTTAATCAAATGAAAGGCAGATATTGAGCACAGTTTTTTATTAAATCTTGCCCAAGTACTTTCGCTCTCAGAGCATCTTCAGGGATATTTCGTTAAAATTATAGGCTATCCAACAATTTTAAGAATCTCAAACATTAAATAATACATTTACACAGCACTAGACAAAGAACAAACAATTTAAAAAAAAATTAATTTTAAGGAGCTACATAGTGGATGACAGCAGGAGAGAGAATATTAGAATATTCTCTCAGAGAGGATACAAGTATAGGTAGTTGGGAGTCTGTTTTTTAAACATATTTCAGCCACGGAAATAACAGATTATCTGATCAACCAATAGAAAAAAAAGCTATAGTGTATTGATCCAGACACAGATTGAAGAGCATATTAGAAAAATTCTAAAAGACCACACAAAAGGTTTCAAATTGCCCTGAAAATTACTGAGAAACTAAATTAGATTGGATTAGCAGCACTGGATAGAACCAAGTAAATAATCATGAAGTAAAATGTGTCCAATTATTCTGGATGCATTACGACTAAAAGAAAAAGGCGAATAAAATATTATATTTGTACTTTTCTTTCGAAGTTTTGTTATCCTTTTTTTCCTGTTTCTGATATTCATCTTAGTTACATTCATACATTTATTTTCGTTTAGAGATTTGATCAGTTTCTCAAACTTTTATTTTTATGTCTCGTTTTAGGGCTTGTGATATTTCTTTACCGAGTCGCTTCATTTATATATAAATATAATAAAATTAATGTTTTAACTATAACAATAATTAATTAATGAGAATACTTACGGTAAAACGCCTTCCACATCAAAATAGTAAAAATGCAACTGCACCCGTTCGGAAGCATTTCCGTTAAAAAAATAATGACATTCGGTGTCTCTAGGATAAAAACCAGGGTAATTTGGACTATGAAAAAATCCTTCCCTTAATTCACTACTATTAAATTCAAAGGCACAAGGATAAGCAGACAACTGAGTCCCGGTTGTAATACCAAAATCTAAAATAAAACAAATATTTCGTTAAAACACATTACGTAGTTATATATATATATATATATATATATATATATATATATATATATATATATATCCTTATATATATATATATATATATATATATATATATATATATATATATATATATATATATATATATATATATAAGGATCACTCAGACGAGTGGTGGGTTCTTATATCGGTCTCTAGGTGGAGAAATAAAAGACAAAGTTGATAGGCTACTTTATCTATTTTGAAGACGTTTCGCTTTCGAGTTTTGAAAGCATCATCAGTTCATCTAAAAAATTTAACAATATGAGAACCACACAATCATGGAAACGATGTTAATTGTTACCTTAAAAAGATATGTAGCAGTCAATGTTATTAACAAACATGTGAATGAAACTAAGTAAATGGACATAATACGCTGATCTTGTATAAACAGTTAAGTAACTAACAACATATATGAACTTATAAGAAATTAGCACAGCAAATGACCATGTGGTCTAAAGTAAATTCAATGTTATTTAATGTTAATAAGTGAGTAAGAACCAAGAAAATCATAGATAACTTCCAACTATTTAATGGATATTAAGCTTTGATTTTAACTTTAGGTAGAATTATAAGTGATATTAATAAAATTTTAAAAAGTAGTTTCTAAAAAAAAGTAGTTTTTAAAAAGTCCTGTTTGTAAATTTGGACTGATTAGTGAGGGGAGTTGCTATTACACTACCAACTTTTTTCACTGTGTTGTCCTTTGCAACCGGGTAGTCATCCAAACTCATTTAAACTTAAATTAACCGCCCAAAATTTGGGTTGGTATCTACACCTTGTTGATCTGTCGAAAGTATTTTTGACCTCAAGGTTGGCTGTCTTTTCGCGGTTTAGTTCGTTCCTGTTTCATTAAACGCCATTTTCCCGGCGACATTCATAGGGCTTTGATTGGTAACTTCATTTATACTACTTTTTAAAATTTTATTAATATCACTTATAATGCTACCTAAAGTTAAAATCAAAGCTTAATATCCATTAAATAGTTGGAAGTTATCTATGATTTTCTTGGTTCTTACTCACTTATTAACATTAAATAACATTGAATTTACTTTAGACCACATGGTCATTTGCTGTGCTAATTTCTTATAAGTTCATATATGTTGTTAGTTACTTAACTGTTTATACAAGATCAGCGTATTATGTCCATTTACTTAGTTTCATTCACATGTTTGTTAATAACATTGACTGCTACATATCTTTTTAAGGTAACAATTAACATCGTTTCCATGATTGTGTGGTTCTCATATTGTTAAATTTTTTAGACGAACTGATGATGCTTTCAAAACTCGAAAGCGAAACGTCTTCAAAATAGATAAAGTAGCCTATCAACTTTGTCTTTTATTTCTCCACCTAGAGACCGATATAAGAACCCACTACTCGTCTGAGTGATCCTTATATATATATTGGATTGACGGTCGTACTCCTTTTTCCGATATATATATATATATATATAATATATATATATATATATATATATATAAAGGCACAGGAAATTGATCTACATAGTTAAAATTCTACAGCGAACTGTAAATGGCCCTGAAATACTTGAAGCAATCAGGGACCAAAAAGATTTACCAGAAGTTTTTCCAGAAGAAGCAGAATCGACAATTACAAAAATGAAAAGTGGTAAAGCAGCTGGAATATATGGCATAACAGTGGGATTGTTTAAATACGCTGGCAAAAAACCTAGAAAATCTTCTTTTTATGTAGACATGAGTCTGTCTGTTTTCCTATGTGCCTCCAGAAGTTGTCATTCCATCGTTTTCGTGGTCTTCCTACTAATCGTCTTCCTATTGGAGAACCGTCTCTTGCCGTCTTTACTAGTCTATTTCTTGTCATTCGGCTTATATGACCGTTCCATCTACTCTTCTATTTCTTACAGAGTTCTTGATGTTCTCCTTCTTGCATCTACGTCGTATATCTGTACTTCTAGCTCTGCCTCATAGTGTCTTGCCATCAATTTTTCTAAGTGTTTTTATCTCCCCTGTTTTTAACATCCATTTTGTCCTCTCTGTGCCAGGTCGTGTTTCTACCGCGTATGTCATTATTGTTCTGATGACTGTTTTGTAAATTCTGCCTTTCGTTTCTATCCCGATATTTTTATTTCTCCATATTGTTTCATTTAGGCAGCCTGTGGCTTCTGTTTACTTTATTCACTTGATCTTCCACTTCGGTTTCGAGCTTTCCGTGGCAATGCCTAAATATATTAAATCCATCACTTGTTCTATTATCTGACCTTCCAGCTCCAATTCACATCTTAGAAAATTTGCTGTCGTAACCATGCATTTTGTCTATTTTGGGGAAATTAACATGTTAAATTTTCTGGCCGTAATATTAAATTGGTGCAGTATACGTTGTAAATCATCTTCACTTTGAGAGAGTAGTATTGCGTCGTCTGCATAGCAGATTATTTAAAGTTATTTTTCTCCCATTTGGTATCCTTTTTTAGTACTTACGTTTTTTATTATTGCATCCATAATCAGGTTGAACAATAGAGATTTCAACGAATCTCTCTGCCTTACCCCATTGCCAGATTCAATAGGGTCGGTTAGTTCTTCTTCTACTTTTACTTTTATTGTGTTGTTTTGGTAGATATTTTCGATCGCTTTGATTATTCCTAGAGTAGGCGAGCGGTTTACCCCTCAAAAGACGCTTAGAAACAGAATATACCGACTAAAATTCTTTTTGAATTTCTAATGCACCAAACCTTTTTTATTCGATTCTATATATTTTTCCACGATGAAATGTATTTTTTTAAAATATTTACAAGTGGGCCGGCAATTGTTATTAACAAATAACTTATACAAAAAAGCAATTTCACCGAATTGTTTCGGAATCAATTTTTTTAGGTGTATCTCATCAAAATAAACACTTTTTCTCTATTGATAATTTTTCGAAAAATGTTTCCTTTTCGAGTTATTTGCATTGTTTTGTTGAAACCATGCCTTAATTAGTGATTTTTGGGATTTTTTTTTCTAAAAAACTACTAGATGAATTGCAATTCTACAAATAGCTTTATAATCTTTAAACCGTCGAGTACAAGTTAGAATATTTTGACAAGGATAATTTTTTTCTATCTTGCTAAAAACGTGGACCCAAATATTTCGACTATGCCTTTCCAGCAGTCTACCGCTAAGTGTGTACAGCGGTTGCGGCGATACAGGCGTGCGGCGCGTAGAAATATTTGTTTAAATTTAAAAAAATTAATTCAATACAAATATTACGTACAATTTATTAAAAAAAAAGATATTTCTAATTATTTTTATATTGACATATTATAATTAAAACAACTAAAATTAATGTTTTACAATGCTATATTAATGTAATTTTTCTTTTAATATACGTGGTGACTATATTATTGAATGTTTTATTAAGTGAAATACATTAAGCAATATATAATTAATGTTCATTGAAAAATATAATAAAATAAAATATAATATTAATTACACATCGTTTTCATTGTCCATTATTTGAAAATTTTCGTCAACAGCAAGAGGATTTCCATCTAATAAGCTGATTTCATTGTCTATTATTAGCGGGATAATCTCGAAAGGCATATTCGAAATATTTGGGTCCACGTTTTTAGCAAGATAAAAACCATTTATCCTTGTCAAAATATTCTAACTTGTACTCGACGGTTTAAAGATTATAAAGCTATTTGTAAAATTGCAATTCATTTAGTAGATTTTTAGAAAAAAAAAATACCAAAAATCATTAAGGCATTTTTTCAACAAAAAATGCAAATAACTCGAAAAGAAAGCATTTTTCGAAAAATTATCAAAAGAAAAAAGTGTTTATTTTGATGAGGTACACCTAAAAAAAAATGATTCCGAAACAATTCGGCGAAATTGCTTTTTTGTATAAGTTATTTGTTAATAACAATTGCCGGCCCACTTGTAAAAATTAAAAAAAATACATTTCATATCGGAAAAATATCTAGAATCGAATAAAAAAGGTTTGGTGCATTAGAAATGCAAAAAGAATTTTAGTCGGTTCATGCTCTGCTTATAGGGGTAAACCGCTCGCCTAGAGGCGAGCGCGATTTCTCTTGCGTACAGTAAGTGGACGTCTTTTAATTTGACCCGGTCAAATGCCTTTGTAAGGTCCACGAAACATAGATACGCTGGTTTGTTGTATTCTAATGATTTCTCTTGCACTTGCCTCATTATAAATATAGCGTCGGTATATGATCTTCTCGTCTTAACACCCTGTTGTTCTTCTGCTAGTGTTATAACTATATTCAGGTTATTTGTTATCACTTTGGTTGTTAATTTTAGTGTTGTGTTTAATAAATTAATTCCTCTGTAATTTTCCGGGTCCGATTTGTCTCCGTTTTTGAAGAGATATATTAGGATGCTTGATCTTCATTCTTGAGGAATTTTGTTTTGTTCTATTATTTTTTGGATTAGTTTTGATAGTTGTTTGATTAGATCTGCTCCTCCGTACTTTAGGAGTTCGTTCGGTATTCTATCATCTTCTGGTAATTTTCTATTTTTTAATTTCTATAATGCTTCCTTTACCTATTCCCCCTCAATATTTATTTCTTCATTTGTCATCATCTCTGGTGCTGATGGTTCATTATCGTCACCTTTAGCAAAAAGGGATCGAAAGGAGTTCGTTCATCTCTTTTCCTTGTCCTTTGATCATTCTCCATAATTCTTTTTGTGCTCCGTAGAAGTCGTGTTCCATCCGTTTTGAGAAACTTTGCCAGTGTTCCTTTTTTATTTGTCTAACTAAAGTATTCGTTTCATTCCTGATTCGTTTATAGTGGTTGTATCCCTGTCGTGTTTGTTGTGTTCTGTATTGTAAAAAGGCGTTCTTCTTTTCTTCACATTTTGTCTTCACTTCCTCTTTAAATCATGGTGTTTTGTTTTTTGATATGTTAGTGTTCGTTACTTTGCTCTCTCCAAGTGATTCTATTGCTGCGTTAATTATGATATTTTTGAGTTTTTCTCAGCTTTCCTCGATGTTATCCTTTTCTAATATTTCATTCCCAGCGATCTTCTCTGATATTATTTTCCTGTAACCCCCTCTGTGGCTCAGTGGTAAGAGCGCCTGCCTTTAAATCTAAAGGTCGTGAGTTCGAATCCCACCTAGGTGGAAATTTTCGTTTATTAAAAAAATTAATGAATGAAAATAATTTCTATCCTTGTGTGATCGGTACACACCGGAGGGACCGCAGATGTTCGGATACAATTAGCGTCTCTTAGCAAAGACAATGACGTCGACTTTGCTAAGTATCAAGACAATTACTCTACACACACACACACACACTACACCTCAAATTGTAAGATTGGCGAATGGATTTAGTGTCCGCAGTCATTTAAACACAAACAAACAACAATTTTCCTGTATAAGTATTCCGTGGATTCCGTATTTAGTCATTCGACTTGGTATGGTACCAGTTTTCTTTTTTTAATAAAAGCGTTCTGAAGGTATAAAAAAAAACTAATTACAAAGCGCCATCTTCAAAGAGCTCTAATTTCGCTCTTTTGGGAAGCATTTCCGGATTAGGTGAATTGGATTAAATTATCTTAGGACTTATCTTAGAAATCTTCGGTCTTTGTTTGTCAGGAGAATTTCTGGACACCCTTTATATATATATTATATATACATAATCTTATATAATAACATATAATAATTATTATTGACACTGTTAGCGATCAGTAACTGTTGTGTGCTTTGAATGATCTTTAGAATAAGAAGACTACCAAACTACTGCAAAGTTGCTTTAAAAGTAGATCGCAAATTATAAAATTAATAGTAAGTACACCTCCTATTGACGCTTCCATTCCCACTTCGGAAATCGTTCTCAAAATAATTTATCCAAAATCTGAAGTGGAAATCCAAACGTCAAAATAAACGTTTTTTTAAATTAAAACAAAAATAGTAACATATTAAAATACCACAAAAAATAGCTTCAAAACAATATACTAACTACTTTATTTCATTATTAGATATAATCCTCTTAGTATTTTGCTTTGAAATTAATCAGATTTGCTTGGTACCTAAATGATACTTTGGATTTTGCAACAAAAACACTTTAAAACTAAAAGTTAGTGTGGAAAACTTACTTTCCATAAAGGCGTAAGTAGATTTAAACCCTCTGGAGTATCTGGAGGTATAGAAACTTTGGAACTCTAATTTCAGTCGAGGACCGTTCGACATTATCGGTTTAGGTAACGTTGTTCCACAGAATTTGTCAATTTTTTCTATTCTTCCGTCGATGTGAATGAAGACCGTTAGTGAATCAGTATTATCACAACTGAAACAATACAATATCTTATGTAAAACTAGAACGTTTTCAATTTGTAAAGATTAATATTCGAACAAAAAAAACCCAACTGATGAGTAATATTTTTATCTAAAATTACGTAGAGTCTTGTACGAAAACACTCACACCAGTAATAAAAAGCCAAAAAAGCATAAATAGTACATGATAGATTTAATGAAACTTAAACTAAAGTAATCAAAATAAAACAAGATGGTACATGATGACCAATTTTAACTTAACAATTTAAGTGACGATTTGTTTTTCTTTTTAAGATGACCTGTCCTCTGCGAATGTTGGTTATTAACATGACAATTCTGATCACGTTTACGGCACTTCTGAATAGTTCGACCGATGTGAGTCCGAACCGTTTCCGCAGATCTTGTAGCCACTAGTGTCTGGTCCTAGACTTAACTAGTGTAATGTCTTCATTTTAATGTGAAGAATGGGGCTGCCTTGATTTGCACAGGTTAGTAATATCCGGTTGAATTTACGATAACTGCAATCGAATGCCAGGTTCCGCATTAAATCGAGATATATATTTTGTTTTAGTGGCCATATGGGCAGAGAATACTGCCTCACATAAGTATGTTGTTGTAAAAGGGAGAAGAATAATTTTCGCTTTATCTGACAAAATTTTAAATTGGTCTTTGAATTGACACCAAAAATCTACTTGCGATTTAGTTTTAAAATGTTTTTTTTTTTATCGCAGAATCCGATGTCAAATGTATCAGGCATTCATACTGCTGAGATGTTAAGGAAGCCGGTTTTTTTAACATTGCAGGTTATTAAGGTATGGATCTGCAAGCCAGAAGTTTTCTCTAATTTTGTCGTGGAATTCCTCAGGCAAAATAATTATGGTTTCTGCTGAGTTTTCAAGAAAATGAAGCAGATAAGTGTGGAACTCATTAAAGACAGCTTCAGGTACGATTCAGGTACGATTTCAGGTAGATTCCAGTTCTTCTCTTCTGTGATTAGTGGAAAGCTATCCAGACTTTTATTTTTCACCGATTCTGGGATCACCCAAGGCAAAATTGACGTCAATTAGGAAGGTTCTAACTTCAGTCCTCATTGCAAAGAGCCTAGCTAAATATTTGCCGCCAGAAAACCACCTACTTTCGTATGAAGAAGTAAAGACGAATGTATACTGCCTATGTCATTGCACACCAGGTCGTGATTTGATAAAATTAATTATCTTCACGGTTTCGTCCAAGACTACTTTTAAGGAAGGCGGCATTTTTTTCACCTCGAGCCTATGTCGGTGGAGGATATAGTATCTACTGCTGCATTCGTTTGTCTTTTTCCTTTATTCTTGAAATAACGCCCGACGTTCTTCCAGTCATCGCCTTCGCGCCCTCTATGCTCACATCGACGCAGTTATCCCAGGGAATGCTATTCTCTGTGAAAAAGATTTCTATTAACTTAAAAATTTCGGCACCAGTTGTGTTGATTGTTAATGGTTTGCAAAAATGATAATACATCAATCTGTAGTAAAAACTTGGTAGATTTTATTCGAGAAAGTAAGGCGCAGTGGCGCGAGATTATATTATTTGAACAAATGTACCGTGCTTACTAGTTTCTTGGCTTTATCTTAATTATGTCCTTGATGCACGGCTTGATGGGGTTTTCCGCGATGGTGTGAGCTTCACCTGCTTGAGCAACGCGGTAACTGACTAAGCGAGACGCCATCAAAGCATTTTCGTTAACTGTTTTTGAATGGTAGGTCATAGTTTTTTGGGCATGTGTCAGTTCGCAGTGCTTTCTTCTGAAGTCAGTGGGTTCTCTATTACATTCTGGATGCACCTTTTCAAAATGACAACGCATTTTAGCTGGAAACATTGAACAGTTTGGCAACACTTTGCCGTAAATTAATTAGATACTGTGGTTTGTTGTCATCGATCTCAGTGAATCCAATTCCTAAGTAGGAATCACTGGATATACTTTTTGCCGATTTTTTTCCTGTAGAACTAATATTTACAGAAGAAAAAGGCAGTTCATTGAACACTTCTGGCGCATTTTGCGTCACTAACTCTTCCACAGACTCTTCAGCCTGTTGAATTATTTCCACTTGAGTTATCGCTTTAACACTGCAATTGAAAGATTTTTTTTACTTTACTCCGTGGCGTTACAACCCTTCGTGGGTTTTAGCCGACTCGACAACATGCCTCCACTGTTTTCTATCTTGAGCAACCTCCATCCAATTCTCCACGCCCATAGTGCTTAGGTCTCCTGCTATATTATCTCGCCACCGGAGACGAGGGCGTCCGCGTGGTCTCCTTCCAGTTGGGACTTCCTCCCACACCAGTCTTACTGTTCGTTCGTCAGAATGTCTTCTGAGGTGTCCTGCCCATTGGAGTCTTCTGGACTTTATTTCTTTTATGATGTTGGCGTCTGGGTAAAGTTCTTCAAGCTCTTTATTAGTTCTTATCCTATATTGTCCTGATGCTTCATCAAGCACCGGACCAAAGATCTTCCTTAGGATTTTTCTTTCCCAAACACGTAGTCTCTCTTCATTTGCCTTTGTCATCGTCCACGTTTCGCTTCCATACATCACAACGGGTCGTATGATTGTTTTATAGACCTGTATCTTCGTACCTCGTGTTAGTTGTTTTGATTTTATAAGGTTTTGGAGGGCAAAAATACATCTGTTGCCGGCCTGAATCCTGTTGTTTATTTCTTGTGATCCGTTATTGTCTTCAGTTATTGTTGTTCCAAGATACTTGAATTCTCTAACGCGCTCAAAGTTAAAGTCATCGATGGTAATGTTCTGACCGATTCTGTCTCTGCTTTGGTTATTGCGGCTCATATACATATATTTCGTCTTATTTTCGTTGATTTGGAGCCCCATCTTCTCTGCTTCCTTCTCAAACCTTACGAAAGTCTCCTTCATCTTTAATCGCGTGTTTCCTATTAGATCTATATCGTCTGCAAATGCCAGTAGTAAGTTTGGTCCTTCTCGATGAAATATTGTATTCGGTTTTTCGATTCTTGCACTTCTGATTATGTGCTCCAGAGCTAAGTTGAAGAGTTGTAGTGAAAGTGCATCTCCCTGTTTTAGTCCATTGTTTATTTCAAATGTCTCCGAGTATTGTTGTCCAACTCTCACCTTACATCGTAACCGTTCCATACACATCCGTATCAACCGGACTAGTTTTTTTGGAAAGCCAAGTTCCTGCATCGCTGTCCACAGTCTGTCCCTACATACTCTATCAAATGCTTGTTTAAAATCTATGAACATCTGATGAAGCTCACGATCAAACTCCCAGAGATCAAAGATTGTATCATTCAAATATGGTTCTGGATAATCACAGTGGATCCATATGATAATACTTTTCGCGCCCACGCCGTGAACTATACATTAACATGTTCTACAGCAGGGCCCGTACCGTATATGTAACGGCGTAGGCATGCATAAATATATAAAATCTAAAGAAAAATCGGGGTTACAGTAGGCTTTTCACTGGTTTAAGGGTACTTTGGTAATTGTTTACAATTTGTAAAAGTGCACGTGTTTCGGAGTTTTGTGTACTTACTGTATTTACAGAAAAGAGAGGTGTACCGCAAAATATATCTCTTTAGGTGTATATGGACATAAAATTGGGCTTCGAGACCTTGAAATGCTTTATTTAGCATAATGTTCTGTTCTTATCAAGGTGATAAGGTAGTGATTGCAACGAAGGCTAGAAGTGTTTATTTTTGCATTTGTATAATTTCTATAATGTTTATGTTTATACTTCAATAATAAAAACTAATTAAAATAGGTTTTTCTATAAAATGCTAATGACGTTTGGGAAACGCTGGTTTGGAGGAAGGAAACTTTGAACAAAAATCTCCACTGGTCCTCCAGATTAAAAGTTGGTCCTGTACTTCACCTCTCAAAAAAGCTACTCGCAAAAGAAACTAGACAGTCTCACAGCACGGATGAGTCTAAAGAAGAACGAAGGGGAACTAATCTTTAATATCTTAAAGAAAACTTACTTTTTTGCGTTAGCATTAGGAATATATAAACTAAAATCCTGGAAGACGATTTGAACCCTCTCTTTACCTCTTCCTTGGAATTCGTATGTACAGGTCGTTTTTGCAGGATATGGTGAAGGATACGACGGACTAGTAATTGTTCCATTCCTATTTGTATCACTACTTATAGTTACATCACAACTGGATCCTGAAACAAATAAAAAACTGATTTTTTATCTCCATTTGAGAAAGGACAGGGCAAAACATATATTGTAATATACAGTATGGAAACCATTTATGGAATAACATTTTTTGTGATCTTATTTCAGAACATCATAAAAAATTTTGAGACCCGTCAACGTTTAAATTAAAATGTGCGTTTTTAAGTATACATATAAATGGTTTATTACACGTTTGAAATTAACAACCTGTAGCTTTTCTTTCTTTAGTAGACCTTTAAAGTGTTAGCTGGGCGATCTCGTTGGTAAAAAACATACTTAATTTGAAGCAACGTGGCTAAATATTGATACCTAAAATTAAATATAAACTAAAAAACAATATCAGTGCTTTTGGAATTCTGTTTGTCCTCCATGTTAGGAAGTATTCTGTTCGTTTTTTATCATCTTTTTAGAGCTGCATATCTGTGTAAGGTAAAACTTTTAAAAATTTTTCTATGGATGTATGCTCATTTAACTGATTGTAAATGAACTGATAATGAGTATGGGTTCATATAAGAAACTTCTTCTTTAATAAATGATACAGTAGCAAGTTTCCTTTCTTTTATTCTTCAAATTTTGACTGACAACCCGTAAGTATTCTACTTTACAAAGGGAACCTGGAAATCTAACTAACAACTATTTACAATATATCTTTAGAATATAGATCACTCTTTCTTTACTTAATCTAAACCCCTTTTAGTCTTCATTACATTATTATCATTACAAAAATTATGGTCCAGTCTGCCTCAAATATTCTATTCTCGCAAGTTTATAAATATTAAACATCATACTCTTCAATTTCATTAAATCTTCTAATACCGAATTCATGTTTCTCACCCACAATAAACAACAATATTTAGGTTCCATTTTTTATTTCGCGATAACCTACAACATAATAACACACTACAATAAACGAAATTTATCTTCCATATAACTTATTCGGTAGGTACTTTATTTGACAAATAAATGTTTTATATTTAATCTGTTAGATACGTTTTTTCACGTCAGTTGGTAGTTCAGATTTCTTCACTAGGTGGCTCTAGGTGTTTAAATCAAAACTAACACAAATCTTTAAATTATTTTGTTTATTAAATATTATGCTAAAATTACAGCAACCAATATTTTTGCCAATTTTACGAACAAATTAATCGTATTATTATTTATATTATTATGTCATTAACCAGATTTAGCCATACGGCTCACACTCCCTCTACACTCATCCCAGATACCTACGGTATCAAAAGGATTGAGCTCTGGTGGGACTCTTTTCGTGTTATCGAGCCCTAGGTGACTTGGTATGTTGGAGTATCTCCCAAAAATTTTCGTACACATCTGGATGTCGCAAAGAGTATCGCTTTCTTTATGGCCTTATAGATATGTTTATTTAGACCCAGCTGTTTCATGTTTTCTAGAAGGTTTTTGGGAATAACACCAGTAGTAGATAGAATAATAGGTACTGTCTGGGTACTTTCCATTCTCCATTGTCTCTTGATTTGTATTTCTAGATCTCTGTACTTGGCGATCTTTTCGTTGTATTTAACACGTAAATTATTGATGTTGGGTATCGCCACATCAATAAGTGTTGTTTTTCTAGTAAGTCTATTAACTAGTATGAGATCCGGTCTATTATGCGCTACTGGTGGGTCTGTGAGCACAGTGCGGTTCCACTATAGCTTGTAGTTGTCATTTTCAAGCATTCAAGAGACGTATTGATAATAAGGAAGATGGTCGGTTTCGAGAAGTCTCAGTTTGTCAGCTAGTTCTTGGTGGATAATCTTTCCTACTGAGTTATGGCGTTCTTTATAATCAGTACCGACAAATGCCTGGAAGCCACCGGTAAAATGTTGGATGGTTTCTTGGACTTGGCATCCATATCGGCATTTGTCATTTTGGATTTAAGAATCTTTAACAATATATTTTAGGTAATTTTTTGTTGGAATAACCTGATCCTAAATGGCAAGTAGGAAACCCTCAGTCTCGGGAAACATCTTTCCTAATGTCAACCAATAGTTCGACGCTGTATTGTCGACATATTCTTGGCTGATCTCATTGAGAGGTCATCCATGCAGAGGTTTAGTTATCCAGATGAGCATTTTTCTTGCTTAGTCAGGTGGTTTATGCGAATTTCTTTTTTCCTCAGTTTAAGCGGTGTTGTATCTTCTACTGCGCAAATTGCTCGATGTTAAGTAGATGTCTCAGCCTGTACCTGAAATTAAGTTCTTAAATTAGCAATTTGTTTATCCAGTTGCTCACCTATATCCATAAGTCCTCCTCCCCCTTGACACCGCGGTAATGTTGTTCTCTCTACTGCACTACGTGGATGATGTTTTTGCGCCTTTGTGAGAAGTTTTATTACTTTCTGTTGAAGACGTTGAAGTTTTTAGCATCTGATCTAGGTGGTTTCGAATGAAAGCCATAAGCCAGTGGAGTTCAGTAGCTGAGATAGTAAATTCATCGCTAAACAGAACCAAAGAGGACTCAAGGAGTCCCCCTGGAAAAGACCCCGGTTAATTGGGATATCTTCAGTTTCGATATTGTTTTCACCAGGTATTTGAAGGTGAATTTTAGTCTTCCACTCCGTCATTATATGCTTTAAAAAGGTCACTATATCATCATCGACTTTATATATTTTCAATATATCTATAAGCCATTCATGCGGTACTGAATTAAAGGCCTTCTTGTAGTCGATGAAGGCGGTGAAAAGGTTCCTTTTTTTAGTATACTCCTGGTTGGAAATGACTAAGTCGATTATAAGTTGTTCTTTGCAGCCCATGGAACCCTTAGCGCATCCTTTCTGTTGAGGCTCTATGATATTGTTTAGAGAACATTGTTGGGGGATACACTGAGCTACACAGGATGTGACCAATTTGTACAAAGTTGGAAGACAAGTAATTGGGTGGTACTTGGCTGGATCTTGGGTGTTATTTTTATCCTTCGGTATTAGATCAGTAGTTCCTTGAGTAAGAAATGGTGGTATTTCCTGCGGATTAAAAATAACATGATTAATTAATACTGTTAAAAGCTCGTTTACACTCTAAAACTTCTTTAGCCAGAAGTTTTGAACTCCGTCTGGTCCAGGAGATTTCCAGTTATAAAGCTCTTTGATAATGTTCGAGACTTCTTCAGTGGTGAAAGGTTCATAGGGAATATTACTGTAATGTTGACATTTGTTTGTCGTTTCTTCAATCCAGCCAGCATTGTTGTTATGAGTAGCTGGCGTCGAAAGTTGGTTTTTCCAAAACTCATGAATTTTTTCTTGGCTTGGGTAGGATTTATTTTAATTTTCTACTGTGGAATTTAGTTTCCTATAGAAAGCTTTCTCTGCATGATCAAACAGTATATTGTCACATTTCCGGTTGTTATCCACTTTGTATCTCCTTAGGCGACCTGAATAAACGGAGAGTTTTTGTTTTGATGTCTCCAGGCAGTGTTGAGCTGTGTTGTTTTCTGTATTGTGTTGTTTTCTGTGTCATATTGTGAGTGTCTTCCAGTGTTCAGAATTATTTCTTCAGTTCTTTTAACTATTTGTCTAGTTCTTACTCCTCGAGTGTATTCCGTAATTTGCAATCTTCCTCAGCAGTCGTTTTTCCCAGGGTGCTATTCTGTTACCAATCCATCTGATGTTGGTACTCCGTCGTGTTCTGATCTTAATGCCCATAACATTAGCAGTTGCTGTCGCTGCACAGTAAATCAGCATATGCAAATATTCTAATGTATGGGCTTCCACAATATAATTGGGTAGGACTTCAGTATTCACAATTTGTAACAGCGCTCCTAGTTTCTTAGAAGAGTTTATTTTTGGTAGCGGTGGTCTGCTAAGTGGGTTTGTTCCACTAAACTCTTGTACGGCACGTGCCATCTCGTTTACCAGACTATCGTGCAACTCGTTATTCTCCTGTTGTATATTATCAGGTTGAGTTTCTTGTATGAGAAGCCCAGGAATCTGCTTAATAGTGATTAGTGAATATTATATATTATATATTATTAGTATTATTATTTAAAAGTATCGTTTCTTTTTAATGGAAAATAAGGCCTTTCGATAACTCTTAGATAAAAACTTGCACTACCTTTTATTTCACGCCAAAAATACTTGGATTTTTACTTACGTTGGTATCACTTTTTCATGATAAAAACACATAAAAGTTTAGTACCTTTCCCATTGGTTGTGTCAAAATTTTTGTATCAAACATCGTATAGTGATTTGAATTATAATTTAAATAGACCAAGTATTTTAAATGAACTATAGTTTAATTATGGTTGTTCTAATGGTTAATCAGTGTTTCTATTTATTTCTATTACGATTTATATTTAAAAACAGAGCAAACCGTTCTCCCTAAAATTAAGTAAAGTTCTTTTGATTTTCCCTTACAAACCAATCTAATAATAAAAATAAAGAAAAGTAAAACGATCGTTCTTCCGCTACAGCTACGAAGGCGTTCGACAGTGAGTAATACAATAAAACGTCCAGTGTCCAATCATATTCTGAAAGGCAGAGAAAAACTGGTAATTTTCACTGCAAAAATTGGAAGTTATTTACAATTTCAGCTAACAATAATTGCTTCCGAAGAAAAGGAAAAGAAAGCGTTGTTGAGATAATGTTATTACTGAATTGGAAGTTTTTAGTCTTTTGTAGAAAATGCGATTCTTGAAATTGTGGGTTTTTATTCTTAAGTTTTTACATGCACCAAATGAATTTAATTTAAATCTTTTCGTAAATAAGCAAATAGAAAAATGAACTGAGTTACATTAGAATTCTTTATTCATTTCTTATATTATAATCTAGTACATTTGAACAACGAAGAGCACATGTTCCATATCTCTTAGTAATCTATATACCATTTTAAAATTGTTCAAAAACAATTAAACAAAATAAGAGGTATTTTAAAAAACAAAAATAGTACGTTTCTCAGATCTTTATGGTTTTGTGTAATCACTACTTGAGTATCTACAAGAAGTGTACAGCTGAAAATAAGATATCGAAGCGGTATCT